TGCACTGAGATGAAAAAATGAGGCATCAAAAACTCAAACGGCAGTTGGACAAATGCCTTGGATTAGGGCAACAAAAAATTTAGGGGGGAAAGGTCAAAACTATCTCTCCTCTTATTCATTTCTACATTTTGAGGGTGGGCAACATGGATCCGCCCCTACCTACAGACGCTTCTTCTAATTGTTTGTTTGTATCCATATTGCCTTCTCTACGCCAACAGTAACTATTCACCCTTTCTTCAGTTTTTAGCAATTAAAGGGCTAATAGTAAAATTCAAAATAGTCATCAAACCTGCTGCAAAGTTAAAGAAAATTTCCAGTATTACATGTAGTTCCTTGACAGCGTTACCACACATCAACTAACGGCTAAAGTTGGTTGGCAGTCAATTTCTGAGAAGTAATAATAAGCGACACACAAGCACCTTGCGACAGTCATAAGAACTGATAGAAGGGCATTCGTTTGTTCATTAATAAATAATTGTCTAGAGCTAGATAGTTTCCTAATAACACAAAAGTAATCCTTTAAGGCAAGCTTAGTAGAGAAAACCTTATAATATCATAGCAAAATTTTTCTCCATGAAAGCATAATGCCATAAGGCTGTTCAGTGGTTGTAGCTCCCACACCTAACACTCAGAAATTAAGTGTTCGCTACATCTCGGGCAATGAGAAAGCCAGCGTAGAAATAATAGTTTTTATGCTTGTAGGAGTAAAAACAGAAAAAAAAAAGTACATTATTTATTTTATGAATTTATAAAGGACAAAGGAAAAGAGGATTGATAAGATGAACGTCATAAAAAGGGTGAAACAAGGAAATAAAAACTAGATTGTAATTTGGGCAAAAGTCCCACTGAGTTACTGAGGCACAACAACAAGAAGAATCTTTTGCGTTAAATATAGAATTAAGGAGAAAGGAGGTGAGTATTAGACCAGTTCACTGGACCGATCTAGCTTGGTCCATACAGGACCGGCTCGCATGTAACAGAGGCGGTGAAGTTCCATCTCCCGCTCGTGCCGCTCAAACAGCAAAGTCTAAAAGCTCCAATTATGAAGGATTTAGGAGTTCAGGAGGGAAATTTGAATGTAGGGGTTGTTTAGAGATTTCCTTTTGGATTGTATGCATTAAATAGTTTGTTTTCCTAAGATATGACATCTTGAATTTGGCTGAAATTTGATCTCTCTTAGGTACTTGGGCTCTAGCCCTATACTAGGGATTGAGAGAGCCAGATCTTTCTCTCGAATTGAAGATCAATTATATCTTGCTTGCTTTTGTTCGTCTTTCATCAAATAAAATTTATTTCGTTGTTGTTTGTCTTCCTTATTCTAAAATAATTATTTGATAGCGGCTGATTTTCTCGGATTTCTAAGTTTATATAAGTGTTTTCTATCAAATTAGTAACAGAGCAATTTCATGGGCTGAAATATAAGACTTCCTCGCTGAATTTTGCTGCGTTTTGTATCTGATCTTGTTGTTCTTGCTGATTGGAGGCCAGAATTTATGTCAAACTTGTTGTTCTTTGCTATTGGAGCCTAAATCTAGGTTCCTATGGCAGGAAGGAAGATAGAAGTATTGGAAGAGGAGATCAGATAATTGAAAACTAAAATTTTAGATCTCTACACTCAAGTTTCAGATGTCAAAAGACAAATTCAGACATCCATGAGAAGATGGATGGGAATTTTTCCAGCTTGGGGAAGATGTTGAAGAAGTTGCTCAAGGGCCAATCCAAAATAGCATCATTAGAGGCGAGGGAAGTCTCTGGCAACCCAGGAAGCAGGAAAAACTCTAATCCAATAAGGCAAATGGAAGAACAGGAGGTGGAGACTCAAATGTGAAAAGAGAGAATACATCCCTTAGAGTCTGTTCCTAGGGAGGAGCCAGGTAGAGTGTACGGGGAGAAGCATGAGGTGGAACATGAACAAAGGGGTGCTGAATTTGAGAGGAGATGGGCGGAATTTGAAAGAAAAAGGGGTAATTATGATCGAAAGGGGGATGAAATTGAAAGGAGAGGGATTTATTATGATCCAAGGGTTGCTGGATTTAAAAGGAGAATGTGAGAATTTGATGAAAGGTTTGGTTATGGGCGTAAAAGGGATGATTGGGGCACTTGGGGGGAAACACTCCCTTGGGGAATGGGAAATTATGGAGGAAACATGGGGAATGGAGGAGATCTAAGGGTGAGGAAGCTAAAGATGCATATTTTTTAGAGAGATGATTATCATGGGTGGATCTACAAGTTGGACGGATACTTTACCGTCAATAGGCTGACGGAGAAGGAGAGGCTAATGACAGCTGAGATATTCTTGGAAGGGAAAGCTTTAGCATGGTACCAGCGAAAGGAAACAAGGCGACCCATACAAACCTGGAAGGATTTTAAGAATTGCTTGTTGGAAAGTTTCCAAACCAGTAGGGAATGGGACTTCTATGAACAATTATTTACCCTGACGTAGGAGGGAGCGGTGGTGGAATACCATGAGCAGTTTGAGCACCTGGCCAGCCGACTAGACCGGCTTCTGAAGATTGTACTGGAGGGGAATGATAGACCAGCCGATTTGATTGAGAGAGAATTAGGAAGTTTCCTAATTAAGAGGAAACTATTTAGGAAGGTTCTTAATCAACAGGGAATTGTATAGAAATGTTTTAATTACAATTGGGAAGGAATTACTTAGAGCAACATATCTAATTTGAATTTGAAATCTAAGAGGAAATTTTAGAGAGAAAGAGAAAGAGGGGTGCTAAGGTTAGGGTTTGGTGCTATTACTACTAAAATTACACTCCATATATTCCGTTTTAGATCTACTCAAGCGAAAACCTTTAGACTCTAAGGTTGACCTCCATAATTCAAGTTTACCTTCAACTCCCTCTCTTGTCTTATCAACAAGAAGAATATCATCAGCAAAAAGCATACAAGAAGAAGAATCTTTTGCGATAAATATAGAATTAAGAAGAAAGGAGGTGAGTATTAGACCAGTCCACTGGATCGATCCAGCTTGGTCCATACAGGACCAGCTCCAATGTAACAAAGGCAGTGAAGTTCCATCTCTTGCTCGTGCCACTCAAAGCTCTGATTATGAAGGATTTAGGAGGAGTTTAGGAAGGAAATTTGAAAGTCAGGGTTGTTTAGAGATTTCCTTTTGGATTGTATACATTAAATAGTTTGTTTTCCTAGGGTTATGACATCTTAAATTTGGCTGAAATTTGATCTCTCTTAGGTACTTGGGCTCTAGCCGCCGATTAAGGATCGGAAGAGCCGAATCTTCCTCACAAATTAAAGATAAATTGTATCTTACTTGCTTTTGTTCGTCTTTCATCAAATAAAATTTATTTCGTTGTTGTTTATCTTCCTTAATCTAAAAACTTGTTTGAAGGTAGGTTTATATAAGTGTTTTTTATCAAATTAGTAACAGAGCAATTTCATGGCTGAAATATAAGACTTCCTCGCTGAATTTTGTTGCGTTTTGCATTTGATCTTGTTGTTCTTGCTGATTGGAGGCCAGAATTCACATCAAACTTGTTGCTCTTTGCTAAAACTGAATTTTAGATCTCCACGCTCAATTTTCAGATGTCAAAAGTCAAATTTTAGACATCCGCGAGAAGATGAATGGGAATTTTTCCAGCCTGGGGGATGTTGAAGAAGTTGCTCGAGGGTCAATCCAAAATAGCGTCATTAGAGGCGAGGGAACCCTATGGCAACCTAGGAAGCGAGGAAACTCTAATCTAATAAGGCAAAGGGAAGATCATGAGGTGGAGACTCAAAAGTGAAAAGAGAGAATACTTCCCCTAGAGTATGTTCCTAGGGAGGAGTCAGGTAGAGGGTATGGGGAGAAGCGTGAGGAGGTGGAGCATGAATAAAAGGGTGCTAAATTTGAGAGGAGATGAGCGGAATTTGAAAAGGAAAGGGGTAATTATGATCGAAGGGGGATGAAATTGAAAGGAGAAGGATTTATTAT